TGACGTGATCCACCGCCGATACATGCGGTGGGTGCGTGAAAATTTCCGTTGGGCGCACACCAATTTGTGGGGCGATACGCGAAATTATAATAGGTTCAGAAACATTATATGTATGATAGGTAGTTTCCGCAAAATATAATTCCGAAGAAGCGGTATGTTTATCTTGTCCACAAAACATATTTACATAATCTGCAAGTTTTGATAAAGGACATTGCGTTGCACGTGTCAAACAAACTTCAATTTTTTGTTTACATTTATTAAATGTTTTTTTCATTTGTAGAATATAAACTTTTCTTACATAAAAGCACCATTTTGCTATACGTTCAGCCTCCAATCTATTTTCAGACAACGATGGCAGTCTAAGAAGCTTTGATATATTTCTAATACATTTTTCTTTACTGTATTTCATATTATTTATCAGCGTAATATGTTTATTTTTATTATTATTTGTTAATTTTTTATGTACTTTATTTTTATAATATTTTTATTAAAATTAAAATAATTCTTGTAATAATATACTTATTTAAAATTTTAGATAATAGACGAAGACGAGAATATTTTCTTGTCGAAATTTTCGTTAGAAAAGAAATCTTCGGAGGTAGAAAAGGAATCCGCTAGTTACGGATTCGCACTCGCGAATCCCATGGATCAAGTCGCCACTTCTGTCGCCGCCGGCCCCGTGGCTGGTGCACCTATCGCCGCCGGCCGCACCGCTGCTGCTGCTGGTCGTATTGCTGCCGGTCCTGCTGCTGCTGCTGGTCCTATTGCTGCCAACGAACCAAGTGTTGACAGTACTTGGCAAGGTAATATTAAGTTATTTTATTTAATTATATACTTTTGCTATATATACCTACGTGATATATATTTTTCTTTGCACTTTGTAAAAGAACATATTAATTTTAATTTTGTTTGTATTTTACAGCTCGCAGACCAAGAGGAAGGGCTGCTGGAATTCGACGGCAGCAAAAACATTTCGTAAGATTTTTGTACCAACTATCCTGCGCGTATTATCCCAGGGGTAACAGTGGAAGAGGACGAGGAAGAGGACGGTAAGAAATTTCAATTTGTGGAAATTATGTTGCACGTCAATAGAAATTTTGTAATCTTACTCATATACTTTTATTTTCAGCGGGACAATCTGATGTACAATTTCAATGGAGAGAGAGACTGCAATGGAGAGAGGATAGGAGAGAGAGAGAGAGACGAATAAGACTGAGGAGAGAGAGAAAAATATCGTCTTAAAAGTCTAATGTATATAGAAACTGAAAATCTATAGTGTACGTTACGTGCATTATAGATTTTCAGTATTGACAGTGAATATCGAAACGCAGCCTATATATCCTTTATGTTTATTACATTTAAGTATTTTTTTAAGTATTCGATTCATTTGTTCTGTGATTGATAATCACAGAACAAACTGTCAATCGTCGTCGTCATGTTGCGCTCGGACGAAAATTTTTAGACGTTTTTCGATCGATGTATCAATGGCGACTAACCACTTTACGGTATTGCAAAATCGTTAAATCCTTTTCGATATCGTCCATCAGTCTGTAAGCTGTCTTTATCGATCACTACAATCCCCAAGATTGTTTTACTGCGAGACTTTGGTAGCTACGTGGAATAATTGTGGGACAAGCTTCCCGAATATATAAAAGCTGACTCAGAGGTTCAACAGTATCGTCGATGTACACGACATTATAATTTGCCGTGCCAACAAACACATTTCGACGGTCCAACACCGTTAATAAAAGATTGTGGCAAATGCCAGCAAAAATTATAAGAGGTAGCGGTTTGTTAAATCGTGCGATAAACGCACTTCCTATCGAATTACATATTCCAGGCTATCAGTTTTGCGGACCGGGAACTCATTTAGAAACGCGATTGGCTAGAGGCGATCGAGGTATCAATCCAT